CCCCAAAACCCCAAAACCCCAAAACCCCTAAAAGAGTAAATTTTGTGGATTTAAAATAAATAGAAATTAGTAATCAAAAGCTATCTAAATTAAAAATATTTTCATTAGCTAGAGAAATCAAAATTTTCTACTTCTATTAATTTTCTTGGCAAAATATTTAAAATTTCACTTTATTATTTTTTCTCATATTAATAAATGATGTGCTATTGAGACTTGGGTTATAATTATAAATCCAATTAAGCTAGATCTTCTTATAATTCTTCAATATTCATTAATTTAATAGCACCTTTTTTCTTATTCTTGCTTAATGAGGGCAATAAATTATCTTAAGTACTATTATTATATTATTCAGACCAATTCTAAAATGAGACATCTCTCTTAAAATCTCTTATAGTAGTAGAGTTATCGCTTAAAATTTTTATTCTTTTAGACTTAGAGTTTTACTTTTTCTTCTTTTTACGTTTGGAATTTATGGATTAATTTTTATTTAAAGATGATGTAGGACTCAAAGTTACGTTAATCTAAACTTTATTAAAAACATGAGTTTCATTTTATTTTTTATTTTTTCTCCTAATCCATAGTTTGAGCTTAAATTTGAACTTCTTTATATTACCCTCAAAAAGTAAATAAAATACCAATACTTAATAAATAATCAATACAGCTATAGTAGCATATTAGAGATTCTAATTTATAGTCACTATCTAATTAATATTAAAAGCATTTATTGTCATCCCAAATTATCCATAAAGATTTGCGATTATACAAAGCTAAAATAAAATCTCTGCATATTTTTAAATTTATGATCCTTTCACATTAAATTACATCAATATCAAAATTGTACATGCTATAAGTTAGGGATAAACTTGAATAGATAATGGCAGTATTACTATTCCTAGGACAATCATAACTCTTCATATAAAAAATATGAAAAGTTATAAACCTTGTTCATTTTTAATACCTAAATTTTCTATGAATAAAATATTTTAATATTCTAAGCTATGATTAGGAATGTTCTATTTAGAGATTAAATTGTTATCTAAGTCTGTACTAAATATCTATTTATTTAATTTATCAATATCTTATTATTTGCATAGCTTTTTTAAATATCTGTGAATCTTAGAAAATTGATAACCTATTCTTATTGGCAAAAATGAAAGCAGTATGATTAGTACTGTATAAATAAGACTATAGACAATTTAACTAAGAGGATATCCCTTAAAGCTATTTTTATTAGAGGCTTAATCCATATCTCTTCTATTAATACCCAAGCAAGCAATTAATAAAATTTGTAAGTATGATAATTAAAATATCCTTTTAATTATTCCTTTATTTAATGAGTAATATAGTTTTGAAAAAAAATTGGCGAATTTGCTTCTCTTTTGATTTATAGTTTGAAAAACTCTTTTTATCAGTTGATTTGTGATTGCTATATATCTGAGCATATTAACTAGAAATTGAAAAACTCCTAAAACTAATATAAAGCTAATCATTCTATGTAGTTGCCATTAAATTTTGTACGAAGAGTATCCTAAGAATTAGAACTTCAAATCAACATTAAACCAATTCTAACTCCAATCATGACCAAATGCTTAAAACAAGTTTGGTAAAAAGTTGAAAGTTGATACTTAGTTGAGTGCTTTATAAAATTCTATTTAAGTAAGTGGAATTTCATTATCGAATAGGATAACATGAGATATTATTTGCAAGGAATCAAGCATCAAGAATGTGAGAGTTCCAATCTTTCAACTGTATGTTAAAAAGTTTATAAAATTTACTTATATATCGAAAAGATTAAATTAGAGAGTAATAGGAAAGTTAGCATATTCTTGAAATAGCTTAATCCTTGATTTAATGTAACTAAATCAAAAAAATTTTAATTTTCTATCTCGATTACTATATAAGTTAAATTATATCAAGATTTTTAATTACTCGAATTAGTTTGTAGCTATAGCTAAAACCGAATGGAATAATCATTGAGTTATTAGTTTTGAAGTTATTTCTAAAGAATAAATTAAATCTTATAGAGTTTGTACTAAAATTAAAGTTTTTTTAAATTTAACTATCTTACATCATTGACAGCAAATTGATTGATAAAAATTTTCGGTATCATAACTTATAGTAGTCCATTGCCGAGATACACTAGTTCTACTTAGCAATTATCATTATTAACTTGATTATTTTAAAATACTTGTAAATAATTGTAAATATCATTAAACTTTGCCAAGTTTATAATCATTTCATATCCTACTAAATCATCTTTAAAATTGATAATTATTTGAAATGTATCGTTACTTCCTGAATCATTAAAATTTAAATTATCACATTCATGGGTTTTCATTTAATTCCTAATAGGTAAATCTTTTATGTCAACTCGAATTAAGTATTATGATTAATGATAGTTTCTAGCTTATTTGTTAGATTTTAATTTAGTAAAAGTATTATTTTCAATGATTATTATTAATTCATAACTTCCTATATCTCTTGGCAAAGGTTTAAAAATTAGAGTTCATAACTGAATCGACACAAATTACGGTCAATTGGATAATATGATGATATAATCATTTGAGCTACCACTAATAACATCTGGTAATTATATAGAAGTTATTTAGTTTACAAAAATTTCAATATCTTATGGGTCATTCTAAAATCTCGGAATAATTAGGCCATTTTAAGATCCAAGATTAGAATTAAATGATGAATTCGGCTTTAAAGCATCTTAATTAGGCAATTCATTTTGAATATATTTATGAATTACTAGCTTCCAATAAAGTTAAATTTGAGTATTAGCTATGTATATTGATTCAGGATCCCTTACTTCATCATCCTCGACTTATACATTAGTTTAAAAATTTATATCGTATGTCTCCTCCTAATTATCATCATTATAGAATATTTAAGAGTTATTTGCTACGTTTACTGTGTATACAACATAATTGCTTTGAGAAGCAGTGACATAATATGGAAGATAAGGAATTACATTCTTGCTATTTTTAAATTGATTGCATGTAAATACCTTTTTTAGACTATCATTTATAACGTCTATAACTAATTAGCCCTAGCCTATTCTATAATGATAAGAAGGATTGCTTAAATTTCTGCTAGTATCGCATGATATAATAATTTAAATCCTTAACTTTTTTAATAGATCTCTCTTTGAATTATCATAGTAGAAATTAAAATCTCTAAAGTATCTACCAATCGAGTATTTACTAGAAGAGTTAACAATAAATTAATAATTTATCCAGTCAAAAGTAAATGGATTTGTATAGTTTATAGGAGATTTCGCATCTTCAATTATTAGAAATGGATCAGGGCAATTACTATATGGCTTAATGTACCTATTTTTGATGTCAATAATTTATGGTGAAGAATATAGATAATACGAAACCGATTAAATCTCATATGCGCCTCCTTCGCAAGATAAAAGTTGAACTGAAAGTTGGAAATAAATAATCAGATTATTTGGGTATGAGGCCTAAAGCATAAAATTGTCAGTCTATAATATACTCTTGCGATCATAATAACTTAGAATCAAACTTCCATTTTCCAATCTATACTTATTTATCGATTTTTATTCATAGCTATAGTTAATATATCTCTTAGGATCCTAGCAATTTTCATCTCCTGATATGAACTTATTAAGATCTATTATAATATCATCAGGATCTTATATAATAAAATTCAGTTTCATCCCTGTTTAAGCTTTGATTTTGGATTTGTTATCACAGAAACTAGTAAAAGTTTTGAATAATTATGAAGGTTCTTGCTACCTTAAGATTTATTATGTATTATCTTCAAACACAATATTTCCTTCACTAAATAAATTTGATTCATCTAATTCCTTCATCAAATATTCTTTGGTATATTAGAGATTGTATTATATAGTGCGATCAGCTTTATTGTCTCTTGCACATGAATAGTTTCAGTTATTAGTATTTACAACAGATGAAGTCCTAGGGTAGCCATTATCTGATCCACTATATATTATGCCATTATCATCCATTATCATGGCATGCAAAGTTTATATAAAACCAGAATATGTTACACTTGTTTGAACTATAGAAACCTTAGTTGAGTTGATAAAACTGATTTGATAGATAACTAAACTAATGGTTGACCCTATATTCAAGCTTGTTACTGCTAAAAATTCTTAACTATTCTGCATTTTTACATCTCTACATCTTTATTCTACTTGAATTTCTGTAAATTTGATATCTTTTTACCCCCTTGATGAATTAGCTTACATAAGTGAAAACTCCATCCAATAATCAGTTTCATTATTCTTTTGAGTATGTGAACATATTCCAAGATATTCAATTTAAGAATCGCTATTCTTTAGGATATCAAACTCTGATATAAAAGTTTTAGAAGAATCTACAAATGTTTTATTATATTAAAATCCATTAGCCCAGAGTTACTAAACTGTCATTAGTTCAAATTTCATAAAACCTAAAATTGTACCATGAGTAAATGAGTCATAAACGTGTGTGCTTTTGTAGTTTAGATAGAGTTCATTTTCATCTATTAATATGGAAAGTAATTAATAGTTCCCTTTCGAAGACTCTATTACTTTGGACCACTTTTAATTCAATCTGGTCGTAAGATTACTTAAGTCTAGACAAGCAATTACATTAATCATTTGGTTTTCATTTAGAGCTGTTATATAAAGCAAGTCGTCGTCAGTAAAATGGATTGAATTGTGCTGATTCATTTAATATAGTGGATTTGGATAATCAGAAGCTTCTCTATACATTTTTATCAAATTTCCATCTGTAGAATTTAATAATATCAGTTGATTTTATCCATCATTGAGTTAGTAAATAGATAATATTTTCTAAT